ACACGACGGGGACGGGACGCTGCTGTTTAGTAAGTTTTGATTCTGTGAGATGAAAAGTCGTGGAGACTGGTTGCACAGCAATGTGAACACACTTATCACTGCTGAACTGGACACCTGAGTGGTTAGGATGGTAAATTTTGTTATAAGTATTTTACCACAATTAAAAATTTTTTAAAGGGAACTGAATTATTTTTAATGTGATAATGACACTGTGGTTATGCTTTAAAAACATTTAAATACATACTAATAGGTTGATATTTGTAGGTTGATGGGTATTAATTCTACTATTGTACACATTTGAAATTTTCCTCAATGAAATAAAACAAAGTAACTACACAAAAGGGGGACCAATAATGAAATAAAACTTCCTAATCAAGAGAACAATCTGTCATGAAAATATTTTATTGTAGTTTAAACATGTGAAATCACATCACTTATTTCACTTGGAGAAAGCTGCCGAGAACTAGGTGGTTTACTGGGCTCGCATTAGAAAACTATATGGAGAAAATTACGTGAACAGTCTACAGTTTGCTATAAAAACAACGTATTTTTATTAAAGTAATCAAAAGTCAAAAAACAACAACAAAAGGGAAATTCTACAACCTTTATAACTGTATATCTTTATGCAGAAAAACTATAAAGTGACAGCCTGGAAAGCAGCTCCACAATACACTTGACCCTCAAATCAAGAGTAACTCAGTTAAGGAATCGGTTCACCCAAAAGACGCTGTCTTACTGGGGAACAATTCAGCTGAGTTGACTTCAACTGTATTATTTTCATTTCTGAAAAACTGTCTTTCCAGATAGTTAAAATCACCAAAGATAAAATGTACAAGAGCCTGCTGAAGTGAAAAGATAAATCACAAACACTCCAAGCATAATTACAAGTGAAATGAATGAGGACATTTTATCTACAGATCTATAAACTCGTAAGTTATGCATGTAGCCCACGTCCACGAAGCTTGGAGGGCGCGGAGCAGACGGCGACCAGTGGGACGGGGCTCACCTGAGCAGCAGCAGTCCCCACGGTCTGTCATCACAGCACTCCCCTGGGGTTGGCATCTGTGTATTATCTAAGTCCTGGGAAGTTGATAACAAAATAAAGAAAAAGCCAAAAGGACAATGAATTAAAGGCCCCTAAACTCTACTCTAAAACATGCATGTGAAATGTGCCTAAGCCAAGCTCTCTGAGTCCTGACAGTCATGTGCTCCTTTAAACTTACGCTAGTGCCTTCATCAGTATCTACACTGAATTTCCTCTAATTAGCTTTTCCATTAAAATAAAAGAGGAAAACAAAGGGGAAAAAAGCTCTTACTTCTTAAATGTACAGTCGTAGAAAAGTGGTGCTATTTATTTTTAAAAACAATTTTCTCTGCTAAAGAAACCATACTGTTGTGGTCATCTAAGAATAGGGTAACTTTGGCAAACAGATTAATTTGCTCTCATTTTTAATAATCAAAATGATAAACTATTACCACGGCCATATAATTTTTCAGAACTTATACCACCACAGAGGCAAATGCGTACAGAATATTTCTAATAAACCTAAATTACATCACAACTGGAATTTCTTAAAAATATTTTCAAGTGCTCAAGAATATTAAAGTTTTTTGGGGGAAAATAAAAAAATTTCTTCCCTCTGAGATTCTTTAATTAGGATAAAAGTCTCAGGGTAAGCCCACATGGATGGTCTGTAATAAAGAAAATTAGGTGAGGGTATAGTAACTTCTGCAAACTTTAGCTGAAAAGCCAAAAACATTCTGAGACAAAATAAGAGCATTCTTTGGGGTCAGGGCTTTTTGTTTAGTTCTTTAATCTCTAAGTTCTCAACATGTTACAGTTCAGAAATGCCCATACACTTACTAACAGTAACAAGTAAATACAGTGTCAAAAAACAATTTCCACACATGATTTTTTCCATCACAGGTCTCTCTGGTAAGAAACAGAGCACCATTTACTTACTTTCTCTCACCTGCAGAAGAGAGGAGATAACATGATAATAACCTGGTAAGGAATCCCTGTGTACAAAGGGTTGGGTTAGAGAGTCAAGGGTTTACGTGATGCCCTTTATAAGAGCAGACAACTACAGCAGAAGACAGTAACTGCCTATCACAGAGCCAGAACAGGGCATTTCCTGTAACTAGAAGGCCCTGTCTATGAACATTTCAGTCAACCTGGAGAAATTTCACTATCCAATTAAGAGTGTTCTTTAGATAGGAAACATGAATAATATGCTGTTATAAAAATATGGTAGAATGCCTCTCCCCTTACTAATCATCAATTCCTGGTCCCATTAAACTTTCAGAGAATCCATGGAGAATTAAACAGGCTACTTTAGATATTTTCTCATTAAGTAAAATTGGAAATAAACTATCTAACAATATTATTTGCAATTCCAGAATAAAAACCCAATACAATATAATACACTCATTAACAAACTTCAGAGAATACATATTCTATTAAGCCTAAGCAATCCCCACCCATCCATCCAACAGGGGGAGTCTTACCCACTGTGACATAAACAATGTTCACCATTATCTGGATATAAATGAAAAGATCTGCTAAATCCTATTGCAGTAGAAAAAATACTACGAATAAGCACCCAAAACTGACCTAACAATTTCTACTCATTCCTACCTCTCCAGCATATTTTTCAAAAGAGACAGAAATAACATTCCTTGCAACCTGATTGGCAAACCACTGCCTAAGTATTTCTAAGCCTATACTGGATACCAGAGAATGATGGAACGCCCAAATCAGCACAAACTCAACATTATTATTTTTGCAAAAAAAAAAAAGGGTAATTATATAAAATTCCATTCTCTCAGGCAATGAACAAAGAAAAACATGTAACTTTAAAAATGGCTATATTTGTAAGTTTTTAAAAACCAGCACCAAATGTTCATGTTTATTCTGAGCAACATTTAGAAATTAACAAATATGAACAAAAGGGTGAACTATAAAAGAATAATTTCCAAGCACTATTGCATACTGGTAAGAACTACCAAGTAAAATAAACTGGTTGGCTCATTTCTAAAGCTACTGCAGGCCTTGCCCAGTTTGGCAATAGCATGGCCCACTGCTCAGCTAGTATACCTAACTCCCCCCAAAATGGGTACATCTTATTTTATTTTGTGACTAGGCAAGATTAAATAAAACAACTTAAAGATATTTTTAAAAAGCAAGTTAACTCAAAACAACCTATTACTGGGAATAGTTTTCTCCTCTCTTTTAAGGGGAAACCCCCATCAAATCACAGTATACAGTGCCCAAATGAGAACCGGAGGCAGATTCAGAAAGAGCGGTGTCAGTTCAAGTCACACAGGCCTTTATCCCGCTGCATTTATAGCAACAGTGTGATCAACACCATGCACGGTCTCTCATTTCTTCCTTGGATGGCAGCAATGTTTCTCCCACTGCCTAACAGATTTCAATTCTGCAAATGGTTCAGATTAACTTTCTGTACCTTGAACTTACAAACCACTGGATGTTAAGTTTCCTTAAAACTATTTTATTTTTAAATTTTACTTAAAGCTAACACTATATCTTTTTAAAAAACAAAACAAAAAACAAAGGTGCTTTAAACAGAACCTTGTACTAATCAGGGTTTGAAGATAGCCTACAGAGGGCCCTAAAGGGGCAACTATCAAACAAGTAATCCTATGGCCAACTCTTGTTCGAAAATTTCTTTTAAAATACACTTCTTTCATACCAGATGAAATCAAAAGATGGAGATTTAATTCCCTAATAATAAGCAGTTGCTCAGGACACAGGCTGAGTGTATTAAAGTCATATTGCTTCTTTGAAAAAAGTAAAAATATGGTAGCCAACCATCCCATTAACAACAGACCATGTCACATTCACCCTGTCTTCTGACCTGTGGGTACTAGTATTACCCAGAGGACCTCATCACAGAAACTGGGGTAAACCTACCAAATAGTAGTCTCAGGTTCTCTCATTTTTACAGTCATCTTAGTAAATATAAAACTTGAGCTGCTTGAACAATGGAGCTTGTAAAGTGCGTTAGGTATAGAAACACAGAAGCGCTAAACTCACTTAGTGGGACTTTAAGGGACTGATGTCACCAATACGGCAAAAAAACAACATTGTGGTTTTCTCTTCAGATTTTATTTGAAATCTAATTCAAACTGTCAAAGCTACAAAACGGGGAGACATCTGCATTAGTTTTGCTAAGTCACAGCATCCTAAAGCAAAACACTGCTACTGCCAGCAGGCCCATTATACACATTTCTGATGAAATTCATTACCACAATAAAAATTTCATCTTGAAAACAGCCACAACGAAAGTAATTTACACAATATAAAACATGACAGGTCTACAGATGCGGTTGCTCATGAGCTTACACATGCGTTCACAAACAAATAAACAAAAACCCCAGGAATGCTCTTTCATTTGATTTTTTTTTTTTTTAAAAACAGACCGTTCAGGCACAAAACAAAATCGCATTTCCAATAAGTGACAGCATCTTAAAAATGTTTGTCAGTGTTTGTTTTTCTTTGACTTTTTATGAGACCTGTGTGGAGATCGGGACTGGGATCTGGATTTCTTCCCTGATTTTTTAGGGGATCTAGACCGCGATCGCCTAGACCTTTTAGGTGTCCTTGAACCAGATGGTGATCTGAGGAAACAAACAAAAATAATTTATCACAGAACTCATGTGATCAAAAATGACTCCTTAAATTATCTAAAATGAGCTTTAACTGAACACAACAAAAGTCACTGAAACACAGAAGGTTGTAAACTTTCTGGATCTATACTCCGACTACTGCACACGTGGGCGCGCACAGATTTCGTACATCCTGTGCATCACACAGGTCATCAGTACTGCGCTTGCTTAAAAAGAAAGGTTCCTGAGCCTTATCACCCTGACCTACTGAGTCAAAATCTCGAGGCAGGACTGAGGAGTTGCAGTTTTTGAACCTCTAAATCTACAAGATAAAGTTCAAAATGACATCTAATACCATTCGCAAAATTTTAAACACAAGACAGCTTTGCAGCCTATCTCCTTGAGGAAAAGGCTCCAACTATTGCAGTATCATTCAAGGGAACCATGTAAGGCAGCATAATTTTGCAAGTGCTGTTCATGAAGGTTACCAAAACAAATAAATAATGTACTTATCTATTTTATATAAAGATTTTACTAAAAATGGTTACAATAATAAAGTTTCAGCTCTCAAAAAAATAACACCAGATAAATAAAATATTTCCGAACCACTTTTCTGGAACTACAGGAATAAAGTATACACTAAATTATACACTGAAGAAATGGCATTTATTTTCACAAATCACTACCCAAAAACTTGCTACTAAGATCGGGGGATGGGGAGGGGGGTATATTTCTTTCAGCCTTGACAAAAATCAAAGAATGTTCTATAGAAATTAAGAGCAGAATGAAAAGTAAAGCAGCTACCTCCCTATCCCACAGGGAACACTGGGTGTAATGCTCACGTTCTTGGCTGGCTTTACTCATCAGAAGCCTTCTTGTGCTTTAGTCATGAGGCTGGTGTTGGGAGGTGGAAAGGCATAATCTAAAATGAGAGTATCTCTTTCTGGTTTTCTAAAATCTTTTAAAAAATAGCTACCAACAAAATTACTTTCAAAGCTGGTGGAATGACAAGGAAACTGGTATTTGAAATATTGCAAAAAATGACTTGCATTTACCTTTTGGCCTTTTTGCTAACATCTCTGGGAGAGTCTTTGTGAGATGACCTCGACCGTGAGCTCTCTTTATGAGATCTTTCTGAACGCTCGGATCGTTCCGACTTTGGTGATGGGGACTTCACTCGTCTACCACTGCTACTGCGAGATGGGCTAGGGGACGTACTGTGTCGCCTTTTCCTATGGAACAAAGCCCCCAAACAGTCCATAAGTCAGCAAAAGATCAGGTATTCAATTTCCTTCTACTAAATTTGCTATTAACTCCTACCAGTTTACACTAACTTTACTTCACTAACCTTACTGATGTTATTTTCCAACAACATTCAAAGTCTTTTATACCAAGAACCAATTAAGTCTTAAAGACAGATTGGTCAAGACAAAAACTGAATTCAACAAAATTGGATTTTCTTTTGCTAAAAGAGATTACTGAGACAATGGACAAAATTTCACTAAAGTATCTAATCAGGTAAGTTGTTTTAATGTTAATTTCACAATCTTGAAACTAAGATAATGGGGCATCTTGTTGGCAAGTTACTCTTGTATGGTTGGGGGAAGAAAGAAGAAAATAAGGTGGAAGTAGAAATATTTAACATTTGAGAAACATGGGCAAAAGATATCTGGAAATTCTTTATACTATTCCTGTAACTTTTCTGTAAATCTGAAGTTATATCAAAATAATAAAAAAGAAAAAAACAGATTTACCATTTAACCAATAATTATGCTATTTGTAATTATTTGTAGAGTGACTAAGCCAGAATTTTTTTTACTTGCATTCACTTGGTTTTTATTAGAAAAAAGTTAACTGTTCATTGAAGCAATTCTCTACTAAATCAGAGATTTAGGGATTATAAAAGTAGAAAATAAAAATTAAAAGCGATTTGTATTAGAATAAAGACAAAGTGAGGAACAAGTCCTTACAGTCTATGTACATAATCTCCTTTCGAGAAGGACCAGGAGATGTAAGTTTATAGGTAGCAGACTCAGCACAGAAGAAATGCTTATACTGGAGGCAACAAGAAAGATCTAGCAAGCTGTTTAGTTATTTAAGCCTGTATCTGAGACCCAGTACAGTACCTGAATCCTCAGCACTGACCTAAGGCTAAGGGACCCTATGGACCATGCAGAGAGGTAAAGGGGTGATGGCCAAGTCCACCGAGCCGAGCGCCAGCTGACCATCGTTTCCCAGCTGGTTCTGCCTCCTGGCGGCAAGAACCAGCCTATCGTCATGGACAAAGCCTTTTCTAGTGCTGGACTCGGCAGGGAGGGCACCTGACAGCGACAGGGCTGGGGCTGGGCCGGCGGCAGGGGGGGCAGGGGCGGTACCTCTCCTTCCGGGTGGGGGTGCACTCCTCCTTTTCCTTCTTGTCCTTGGACCGAGACTCCAGTTTCTCTTTATCCTTCTTGTCTCTTTCTCGTTCTCTTTCTAATTCTTTCTCTTTCTCCTGTTTTGTTTTTTTAAAGAAAGAACATTTAGTCATTAAAAACACCAATCTGGGTTCATCTTGCTTACGTAATGATACATTCTCTTCCACTTAACTAATTTTAAATCACTAATATTTTTAAAAAGTACCTTCTCTTCCAGAAAAACGAGCCACTTTTCCTCCTTAGGCTGAACAGCGAGCACCACTGGGACAGCAGCTATACTCACTGACGCTCGCCCTAGGCCAGCAGTGGCCAAACAGCTGTCACATACCCCGCCAGCCTGCCTTCCAACCGCCACAGGAGCAGTACTTTCACCCTCGTTCTAAAGATGAAAACCCAGACTCCGAGCGGCTACGTGCCACACCCATGGTCACACAGAAGGAAGCCAGGGTCTGAGCCAAGCTCTGGAGCTAAGGCTCACAACGAACACCTGTAGAGTGCTGTCCCTCTACAAGCCAACAATACACTGACACTGCATTTCAGACAACAATAAAATAGCAGTGACACTAATTGCGCAGCAAGTTGATTTAGTCAAGAGAGAGCTATTACCAAAGCCACAGGCTGAAAAGGAGAAATAACTATTCACGATAATCATCCATCAGAAAATCTTACTGATGAGAGACAAGTACCAATTGTATTGGGAATTTTAAATCCTAACTTATGAAAGTAAAAACTGGCTATGTGACTATACAATTATATAAACCAGAAAAAACAATTTCCTCATCCTTAGATGCTACAATAAGGATAATTTCCTCATCCTCGGATCCCACTTCTCACTTGAAATTAGAATTTCTGTTGATTATGTAATTAAAGGAGTAGCTACAGACAAGGAACCCACAAAGCCCACGGAGATCTCTCCTACCAGGAACTTAACTTCTCTATGATTTCTGTACCTCCAGAAAGCTATCTGATAGCTGATAAAAAGCCTATACCAAATGTTGGCAACATTTGTAAAGAGCCAGATAGTAAACACTTTCTGCTTTGTGGGCCACAGTCACTGTCAAAAGTATTCAACTCTGCCACGGGAGAATGGCTATGAGCCATAAGTTTATTTACAAAAATGAGGTGATGGCTACAGTCTGCCCATCCCTTATATATACCTTCAAGAAACACAGCCTCCTCCCCAAATGCAATCTGGAAGGCAGGAGGCTAAAATGCTAATACACGTATTACTACCATCAGGACCAATGAGCATCCCAAGGTAGAGTCTTCCATGAAGATCAAACACCTGCCACCATCTCCAAAGGGATTCATGTGGGACAGATAAATAACACCTTTTTAAAAATCTCAATTATCTCTATTCAAAATATATAATGTAGAGTACAAATTTAAAAAGTGAGGCGGAGGAGACTGCTTCTGGTGTCTGCACAATATAATTTCCTCTATATTTTGGTAATTTATAAAAATCAAACTACAGTTAAAATACTTAAATATTTTAAACATTTTAATTCAATAACAAAATGTAATAGCAGCTATTATCTAACTCACAATCCTGCAAAATTGGGATGATCACCCAGAGTCACAGAGAAAAGGCAGCACCAAAGTTGTTTTGCCACCTTGCTGCTCCCATCACCAGTTTTATGCCAGTAATAGCTTTGTAGTGATTGTTTTTCCTATTTCTCTTTCTATATAATCTTTTTTTTATAATGAGTCAAGATACAGTAGTCTCAATAAAATTCCTGGGTTCTCCCAACAATTACCACATGGGTCTCCTTGTTCTAAAATCCTCTGTACCCCTACATATTTTTTAATGTACAAGAATATCAGGTCCTTCAAAAGTTTAGAGCTCACTGATGAGGTAGGCTACGCCTGCTGTCCCTCCTTGAAAACAATGGAAAAAGAGTCCTACATGAACTTTCTAAACCCTAACTCCATCTGTTTGTCTCTATGCCACTTCTCAAGGTTTCTGGTGTCTCATTGTCACAAATATTCTTCCTATTGGGTCTTCCAGTTTTAAAAACATACTCTTAGCAGGATTTTCTTGTTTACAGGTAATATCTACAATAAAATATTATGCTGTGGCCCTAACCCTTTTACAAGTTGAAATAATTGTAAAACATCAAATTTCAAATGTTACTAATTGTCTACCAGTATCCAGCATTTACACATCAAAGGATGCAATTTGAAACACATTCTCCTTAATACACCAATATACCAATATTCTAGGTAGTCAAACAAGTAATTTTGGAAAATGCATGTTACTGAGTATACTATTCCTTACTCGTTGAAGAAGTTTATCTCTGTAGTGTTCCACTTGCTCCTGAAAGCTCTGGCCTGGTTTTTTAGGTCTTTTTCCAGATTCCAATTCATCCTGAAACTTCATAACTTTGAGCTGTGAAATAACACATAAATTTTTCATCACTATAGCTTCTCAAGTAACTGCTTGACAAACAAAATGGAAACAGAGGCAGAACACATGGAACAGACTGACAGCTGGGGGGGGGCACTGGGTGAAAGAAAGTGATGAGATTAAGCAAAAAAAAACCAAACCAACCCCAAAAAACCCCACATGCATACATATATACATAACACATGAACACAGACACCAGTGTGGTGACAACCAGAGGGAAGGGGGGAGGGGTAGCTGGAGGTGGGCAAAGGGGGGGAAATGGGGATGGAAAGAGACTTTGCCTAGGGCAGTGGGCACACGATGCTGTGTGCAGATGATGTTTTATTGAGCTGTACACTTGAAACCTGTTCCCCAATAAATTCAATTTAAAAAAGTCTTTTCGAAACAAGTGTATAAAAAGGAAAAACATCAATACAGCAAAGTAGCAAGATAAGAACTCGGTCAAAATATAACATCAACATAAAACTCCCTATGTGAAAGCCACTTGTCAGACAAGCCCACCTCTGCAGAACGCCAGTGATCAGGTGGGACCCACAGGCTCTGTGCACAACCATATAAGATGACTCAAAACCACGAGTGCAGTCCACGCCCTTCTGAACTTATCGCAACACAATGATAATCAATTTGGTATCTGGTTCCCCAAAGATCTACATTTTATAATTAAAATTTGGTTCACAATGAAAATCCCAAAAGGGTAAGCTGTGGGAGGCAGGCACTACAAGAGCAAGGGAAACCATCGCCAAATGTCCAGCAAAGAAAGGACGGAGAGGCCAGATTATCAGAGAGCACAAAGAATGGGAATGTGCGTGCACACCTACCACATGTATACAGGCCATCCAAATTAACAAAAAGGCCAAATCACAGTTCCCTTTAAACCATTAAGGAAATAGAGTATTTAAGAATAATCAGTCTGTTTTGGCATTTTTAATTATCAAAATGTCACTTCGATTATCAAGAAAATATATTTTTGATGAGCTCAGTTGTCATTTCTACTCCAGTAGTTTCTTCAGATAAGTAAGAAGGAGTTCAGCAAGGCCAGGAGGAGTTCTCGAGTTAGAAAGGGACACCTGCAGCTCGAAAAGGGCAACGGTGAGTGCGGTCACTGACACCCACCTTATACCCCTCCAAACTCTACAGAGTGTAGCTGAACACATCCCAGGAAAAATGAATCAACCTAACTGTGAAATCCCTCCTCTCAGCTTACAATTAATACCCTATGATTTTGTGTAAGTAAGCAAAATGCTTTTTGTGTTAACTTTTTGGCATGGTGATACCTGAGAAAGAGGTAGACAAGAATTTGTAGCAGTGAGTAGGCAGAGAAGGGGAAATAAGGTAACAAATTATCAGGAAGATGAACAGCACTGACATAGAACAGGCGTTCAAAACAAACTGTTAAATGAACGGACAGAGTACTGAAATTCACTCATGTACACTTTTTCTTTTTTGGATTTTTTTTGAGTGAGGGAGGGTGAGGGTGGGAGAGAAACATCAATGCGAGAGTAAACCATCGATTGGCTGCCTCCTGCACACTCCTTACTGGGATGGAGCCTGAAACCAGAGCATGTGCCCTGAGTAGGAATGGAACCAGCAACCTTTTGGTGCGTGGCACAACGTCCAACTAACTGAGCCACTCATGTACACTTGTGAGATTCTGGACTGACTGCTAAACTACTAATATTTACTGGGAATGTTTCATCACCTTGGGGCAAGGACAGGAAGGAAGGTCCCCATTATAAAACCTTCCCTGACATGTTTGAATACCTTTGATAATAAAAAGAGGCATTTAAAAAGGAGGGATGGAGGAAGGAAGAGTCTGCTGGAGACAAGTTTGGACTCTGCCGTAAGTTTTTCTCCTTATTGTTAAGCCCCACTTAATGTCTTCTCTCTTGCCATCACTAAATGGTGCAGACACTTAAAGTTAGCGTACTGTAATACAATGTACACATAACTTGAACATGCCAGAAAATATCTCACTTTTCTTATATTCTATGTACACTCAAAATGTAATGGATTTCATGATGTCAGACACAATCTATTCATTAGAATCCATGTCTTCAGAGGATCTCCTAGGTGCCAGGCGATGGAGATACGATAAACAGAAAATAGACACCATCCTTTCCCCTCACGGAAGTCACACCCTAGTGGGGAATACAGACATTAAATAAGCCCGCAATCAAAAAAGCCCCACAAAACATAATACACACATCGTAACACTAATCTCAACAGAGAGAAACAGGGAAGAAAATCCAGATGAGTAACGAAAAGGTTCCAGGGGGAGAAGGGATGCTTGAAGGAAGAGGCCTGAAGGAAGGCGGCTACCGTACCAATTGTTGGGCACACGGAACGTGGTGACGCCAGGAGGAAGCCCAGCTCGGAGAAAAGGGGAAGACGCGAGGCGTCAGCTTCACTGCGATACCAACCTCGATCTCACGGAGTTTGGCTCGTTTCTCCTCACTCATTTCAGAGAACTTGGAGAACTTGGACTCAGCCATGTCTTCTTTGATAGGATTAGAATACAGATGCTGTTCTTCGGATTTGGAGCTCTGAGTGTCCTCTTCATCTTCGCTCTCTTCTTCCTGACTTTGGAAATAAGCAGAATACGTTGTATGTCAAGGGAGGAAAGAGTTACACTTAATAGTCTGGCTACAACTGCCTTAGAGCTTAAATAATGTTAACAAAACATAAGAGGAAAATTCATCACCAAAACATTTTTACAAAATATTTGATCAAATTTTACAAAACTGTTTCCTCCACAGAAAAAGTTTGGGCTTCAACATAACCATACTTTAAAAAATTCTGCTTATGTTAATGTGTGTGCCTTTCATTCTGCAACAAACTTTTCCTGCGGCAGTTAAATAACATCACCGTTCAGAGTGACTTCTCCCAGCTTAATGTTTAAAAAGCCAAGTGCTTACTTTCCTTCACCAGGGGCCTACAAACTAAAAGATAGATCAGCTTGAGGCACGCAGATTTACTATGAAACACTCAATGCAGCATGTAAAGACCTTATTTGATTAGCATATAAGCCTAGGAATAATGAAAGCCATGTGTGAATTTTAAATATTGGCACACTAATGATTCTGAAAGTTGTGCTAGTTCTGTCAGGTAAGAAGAAAAATGAAAAACTGACTGACTACCATGGGGAGGGATACAAAGAAGAAATTTCTCCAGTCCTTCCAGAAGCAATCTAGTGGAAACAGACAGGCAGGTAACTATGTGTAAAGCTGGTCATCACTACTACAACAGGGTTAACAAAATGTTATCTGTGCGGGTATGTGTATGTGCACGCGCGCACACACACACACAAAATGAAGGGCCTTAAGAAAAGGCTGTGTGTTTTGCACCTGGGCTTTGTGTGTGTGTGTATCTTAAATCTGGGCAAAACGAGTCATCCGTGTACAAACTCAGAATGTTTATGTATATAAACAAAATTCCATTATAAACAATATTGTATGCTAATATTACTGGCTTAGCCTACTAAATATGCCATTTCTCTGTAATTTTTGAGCCTGCAAAGTCCTTACATGTTGGTATTTGGGTACTACATACATTCTACCATAAGTATGAGTCCTTTTAGTATATACACAAAACTATCCATAATAATGTAAAAACAGTTATAACCAAATTGTTTCCAAATAAAAGTTTCATTATTTTAGAGTCTGAATGAGAAAAACTTAAGCAAGGCAGATTAAAGTATTGGCAATTTAGACTCAGAAAAGACATGAAACTAAGAGAAAAAGAGCCTTTTAATTTCTCATCCAAAGGTCCTCTCCAGAACCTTACTAAAATGCTTTATAAACTTAATACTTTCAGAGCCCACAAATCATTAGTACTACATATAGGTACAACCCAATACAATACTTAGGTAAGGAGAAAAAGTGAAAACCAGCTATAAAAAACAAACCAAAAAAAAAAACTATACTATTTTTGGAAATAAACCATTCACCTATTATTTCTCATTAATTTGTCAAAAACTTCCTAAATGTATTTTTTAGCTAATTTTTAAACACAAGAATTTCTTGTTTTATGGGACATAAAACTTTGTTTCAGATGCTTTTAAATAGTTAAACTGTGTGTGTGTGTGCATATGCACATGTGGATGCATATAAATGCAGGTGTTTACCGAAGGATATTCTAGAAAGGGTCAATAAGGGCAGGACACAGCTAATTAAACTGTGGTATCTATGTAATAGAAATTACTTAAATTCCAGCCTGCTTTTTATATGTTCCGATTTTTCCCCCCCGTTATTTCAAATATTCCTTGCGCACTTACCTCAATGACTGCTTTTAAATACAGATGACTACGGAGCAGATAAATATGTAGACTGACATGAAATAATATCCATGACACAGAGTAACAAATATGGGTCACAGAATAGTAGGTACAGTATTATAAAACTTATGTTTAAAATGATATGCATGTTTTTATATATACACAGAAAGGATCTAGATGGCTGGACACTAAAACATTAACCATATTATTAAGACACACTACACTTCAATAATTTAAAATAGATAACATTTTAGAATTGCTATTTTAATTTTTCAAGGCCCAAGCAGTGTGTTCTAATTGGTTTTGACTTTAGCTCTTAAGTTACTAATTCTGGGTTCAGATCTTATCACAGCTTCATCGTGCTCTTCTTTAAAGAAATAGAAATTCAAGACTCTATCATTACAAATGAAGTTATATTACTATTTGGAAGTTTTCTCCAAAGTATTCGTGGTGCTACATATTTTTTAAAATCACACTTCTGCCATAAATAGTTTCAAAAAGTGGATCTTTAGTAAAAAGCCATTTTGGATTCAGCCACTAGAGAGCAGTAGTGAGATACAGGAAAATTTCAAGGGTCAAAAAGCTGTATGTGCAAAACTTCCTTGCTTTGTACTTTCATAAAATTATTTATTTAGGGCTCCTATAAGAATAAAAAATATTAAGTTATATTTTCAGTAATCCATGCTTTATTGTATGAATGTATGATTATTCTACTCTCAACACTACAAGGAATTTCCATTCCAAAGATTAACACAAATACCAAATTTATGCCAAAAAAAATTAATACCTTTAGAAACAAAACCAACTGAATAAGATTTGGGCTCCTTGATGACTTTTCTACTCTTTCTTTCCTCTAAATCATTCTATGAGTACACAGACTCATTCTAAAGTAGTGATTCTACAATGGTAAGATATGTTATTAACGGGATTATAGATACAGACCCAGTTAAGAAAACCAGTATTCTAAAGCAGACTGAACTGTTCCCAATTCCTATACTCCTAAACAGTCTCAGGGATTTCCATTAGCAAACCGCATCTATATTTTATAAATACTTTGTCATAACCATTGCTGACTTGTTCTGATCACAGGGACACTCATGCGGCATCACTGTAGCCACGCTTTCCTCATCAGATACAATTGTTTCCACAAATGCTGATTAATTACATTTCCTTAACAATCTAAATGCTACTAATACCCGTTTATCGAATCCATACAAATGCCCAAATTGTGATGGGACACAAAGGTCCCTTTGTTCACTACCATTTGAGAGCAAAAAAAACCCCAAAGATTAAAAAAACCAGAAACCTCCACTTTGAGTTCTTGAGGCCATCTCTGTTCCTATTTTAAAAAATCAACTTCCTTTGCAACTATTTTAAAAGGTGTCAAGTGCCACCAAAAAATTACTAATATAATCTTGCCAGAGAATTTGGGAGAAGGGATTCCTATAATTACATTTGGCATTAAATGCAAAAAACTTTTGGGGGTGATTACCAATGGAGCAAAATTCAAAATTATCATTTCTTTATGCATTAAGGATTTTTTTTTTCCTTTTAATCTTAATTCTTTTGAGGTTTTTACATTTAAATAACAGAACAGAATGGTCGCAATGCAATATGTATTTTTCCAGCAATGTACAATCCAAAAGAAAAGAAGCATAACCTTCCTATTCACATTTTAATAATCACTTTCTGTGAAGCCTAAACAAAGATTTAAATAAATGCAGGTGACCATTTAGTAACTACAAAGTGAGAATGTAATACTTAGCACAGAAAAATAAACTCAAAAGCAAAGTGAAACCAGATGCAGCAGAACCAGAAATCTAAAGCTCCTTATTCACTAGGAAAACAATGGAGAACTAGAAATGATCCTCCTGACAAGGTTTTAACCGTGAAGTTTCCCTCGTCACTATTATTTCAAGTCCCTCTTAAGGAAAAGGGAGCACATACGCAGTAAGAAACTGAGTACATTCAAAACGTAGATTCTTACTTTTGATTTTCTTCTTCCTCTGATTCCTCGTGCTGGTCAAATAACTCCCATTTAGACGTTGTTACAGCTGGATGGAGGGGAAAGATGTAATTCCATAAGGTAAATTAGCATTTCTGCAGCTTAGTAGAACCCTAGCTTTAGAATGGAGACTTTATATATGTAGGTTATCTACCTTTATCTATTCTTTGAATGGCCATTTCTATGCTCAAATCTATTTCTTTCCTCCTCACACCTACACTATCCTTTTATTCAAACTCACGAAATGACAAATGTCATCCTTGTTTCTATGCTGGATGGTAAGATTTATTTCATTAGAACCCACAAATATTAACAATTATAGATTATAAGCATGAGGATACATGTCCATGTAAGTATGGAAGGCAGATCTAGTTAAGTCAAGCACTACGGGAAGGTCAAAGCTTGGTTTCTCTGAAACTGACCTCTACATAGATTTCCAATCAGGTACGCAGCCTCCCATCTACATTTTCTACTGAAATGCCTTAACCCGAGAGGCGTTTAGTGATTTCTCTAATTACTCTCAAAGCATACAAACGGAAAGATCTAAGGGAATTATAACAAATACCACAATGGAAATCTAGCCACTAGATATAAATATGGTAACACTGGGTCTTCAGGTTAAATATTGTAAAACATAAAAGGAACACATGCACGCACACACACACACACGACTGAGTTTAAGTAAGAAATTTTCTAAAACCCAGTTATGTGTGTTTTACTCACCCTGTGCTTCCAATTCAGATTCATCCACAGCTTCCCATTTTGATGGGGCCACTTTAAATATCGGCTCATTCTTCTTTGAGTCCTCAGTCGCATCCACTAGGGAGGGAAGATAAGCCATTAACCCTGACTTCCAGGGGATGGCCTCACTTAAAAGAGTTCATGGGCATTCACTGCATCAGTGACGTTCAACCGTGTGCAGCAAGAATGTTTAAAACATGTCGTACCTGACTACTTAGTCAGGAGCACTGACCTCTTTTTCCTCAGGCTGTCAAATAAAAAAAATGACAACAGCCCGGCAGGGCATGGCTCAGTGGTTGAGCATCGACCTAGGATCCAGGCGATCGGGGTTCAATTCCCAGTCA